GTGTCCAGTAAGCAAGTCCAAGTCTTGCCATCCTCGCTTCCAAGGAACACAGCATACACCTTGTGAGTCCGTATGAGCCTCAGTTTCCCTGCCTGGAAAATGGATGGAGCAGGATCTTCCTTCCACCTCTGGAGGAGGCTCCTACAGTGGAGTTGAAGGAAAGGCTTAAGGAAGGCTCTGGAGCTCCTTTGAAGGAAACTTCTAAGCCAGCTCCCCGGCAGACATGAAGGAACCTTCTGCACATTTCCCAGCTCTTGCCTGGCTGAGTGGGGAATCATGGTCCTGGGAAAGCAGAAGGCCATGACCTTGACAGACCCCCTAAGGAATCAGAAGGAATTCCCCCTCCCCCTCCATTATCCCATCACACTGAAGGTCAGTTGTCTGTGCTGTTGGACATTTATGGTCTCCACCTTCACGGACCCTGAGGAATAGTCAAAATGTCAAAGCATCCCTGGTACTGACCTTAAACTTGACTTCCCACTAAGACAGCTGAGTTCTCAATACTCTGACAGCTCTGAAGAAAGCAGAGGGACAGCCAAGACCATCTTCTTCTCTTTCCTCTCTGCTGGCCTCTGGGACTCCCCCTTCCACATTAATAGGAAAACTGTAGCCATTTCTGTCTTTTTGTCTTTGATCTGCCCCATGGGCAAGTCCAGGAGAAAATCTGAGCTTCTGCATCAGCTGCAGCTGGGAGGGGTTAGATGAGGAAGGCAGAGGGATGGGGTACTGCCCACCTATTGCCGTAAAGTCTATTCCAATTCATAGCAATCCTGTAGGACAGAGTAGAACTGCCCCATCGGGTTTCCAAGGTTCTAATCTTCACGGAGAGAGAGGTGTCCTGGTAGCGCAGTGATTAAAGTGATCGACTGCTAACCAAAAGATCAGCGGTTCAAAACCACCAGCAGCTGTGAGGGAGAAAGATGTGATAGTCCGCTTCCATAGAGATTTATAGCCTCGGAAACCCTATGGGGTCACTATGAGTCTGGAATTGACTTGACAACAGTGGGTTTGGTAATCTTTACAGAAGCAGACTGCCACATCTTTCTCCCACAGAGCGGCCGGTGTGTTCAAACAGCTGACCTTTCAGTTAGCAGCCAACGGCTTAACCACTGCACCACCGGGGCTCCTTGGGGCAATACCGATAGCTAACATTTATTGGGGGCTTACTAGGAGCTAGGTGCTGTTCTAAATGCGTTACTCACATAATCCCATTTAATCCTCTTAGTAACTCTATTAGGTGTTGTACGCTATTGAGTCAATTCCGACTCATGGCAACCCCATACAACAGAGTAGAACTGCCCCATAGGATTTTCTTGGCTGTAATCTTTATGGAAGCAGATCACCAGGACTTTCTCCTGCAAAGCCACTGAGTGGGTTCAAACCGACAACCTTTCAGTTAGAAGCTGAGTACTTAACCTTTGCACCATCAGGACCCGTTTATGATTATTGTCCTGGAGTCCCTGGGTGGCACAAATGGTTAAATACTCGACTGCTAACTGAAAGGTTGGCAGTTCGAACCCACCCTAAGGAGCCTCGGAAGAAAGGCCTGGCAATCTTCCACTGAAAGGTCACAGCCTTGAAAACCCTATGGAGCACAGTTCTTCTCTGCAACACACAGGGTTGCCATGAGTTGGAATCGATTCGATGGCGGCTGTTGGTACTGGTATGTTATCCCATTTTATAGATGAAAAAACTGAGGCACCAAGAGATTAAGTAATTTTCCCAAGATTACACAGTTAGATAGGATGTTTAAAATTGTAAGCTATAGGTGCCTTCCCTGGTAAGACTTAGATTCAGGGGGAGGTGCTAAGTAGTTGATTTGGGCTCTCTGGAGGGATGGCTAAAAAACTTAAAAACAAACCCGTTGCCGTCGAGTCAATTCCAACTCACAGTAACTCTCTAGGACAGGGTAGAAGTGCCCCATAGAGTTTCCAAGGCTGTAAAATTTTACAGAAGCAGACTGCCACATCTTTCTCCCACAGAGCGGCTAGTGGGTTTGAACCACTAAGCTTTCACTTAGTAGCTGAGCCCTTAACCACTGTGCCACCAGGCTCCTTGGAGGGATGGCCAGATGCAGCCAAATGAACTTTAGAAACAGCAAACAATGCAGGTCGAACTTGCCCTGGGAGCCCCAACCAAATGCCTTTGGATCCTCTGGAATCTCTTCTCTGTCTGCACCGCTCTCTTTGGTACCCACAGGTGATGTTAGTCCTGGAAGCACTCCATTTTCCCTCTTTTCATAATTTAATCAAAGACACTCCTCAGACCTCCTGATTGCTCTTGGAAATAGGAACTTCAAAGTTGGGGAGTCGGTGAATAATTTAAGCCTGCGTGGCTCTCTGGGTCTGCTGTTAATGGCGTAATAACACTATTAATAGCGCTGTCAGAGCAGACACCCTGGAAAAGTCCATAACATTAGCTTAATGGCTGCAGATAATGGAGTCCTCGCAGAGGAGCTGGTCTGGGAAATTAACTTCCAAGACTTGGAGGCAGACGCTCTTGCAGCCGGGGAGTGCCACATAGAAACCAAACGCCTCTTCAGTCTTTGACTCCCAGGATGCGGTTTCCTAGAAAGGTGCTGGAGAATCCATCTTTGTCCCCGAAGTCACAATAACACTCAAAGGGCTTCAAAGTGAAAGGAAAAATAGTGACTTAGCCTAGAGAATGAGATTGTTATTAGGTGCCTTAGGGTCAGGAAGGAGAGTTCTGATGGCGCAGTGGTTAAGTGCTCATCTGCTAACCGAAAGGTTAGTGCTCACCCCCCCATTCCACATTAGAGTACCGACTTGGGCCTGCTGCTACTCCACCTTCCAAGTTTCCCAGTCATCCCTGTTTAAGCCTCCCTCAACTCTAGTGCTAAGCGCTCAGCTGCTAACCAGAAGGTCGGTCATTCGAAGAGGTTATTTACATATCTGGGTGATGTCCAGTGGCTCTGTGGGAGAAAGATGTGGCAGTGAGCTTCTGTAAAGATTACAGCCTTGGAAACCCTATGGTGCAGTTCTCCTCTGTCCTATAGGGTCGCTATGAGTCAGAATCAACTCGATGGCAGTGGGTTTGTTTTTTGTTGTTGGGGTTTTTTGTTAACCTTTACAGAAACAGATTACCAGGTCTTTCTCTTGTAGAGCCGCTGGTAGATTCGAACCACTAACTTTCCATTTAGCAACCTAGCACTTAACCACTGTACCACCAGGCCTCCTTACCCGATAACTTGCAGCTGTGACTGTACTATTCAGGATTCCGTTTTTCTTTGGCATTACACATCCAATTCACTCTGAGGTCTTCCTTTGTGCCTCCATGTCTCCTTTTTCTTCTTCACCCTCAGAATGGCAGCTTTAGCCTTCAGTGATCTCGCACTTTGCTAAACGCCCCTCTCAGACTCTGCCCTGTTAGCCCACCCTTCCCCACGCTCTCCTTTGAGCCCGAGAGTCACCCCAAGACCAGAGTCGGGTGTACAGGCACCTCCCTCCCTACCTCCTTCCCCACACCAGCCCTGTCTGCCCACCTCCCTCCCCACACAACACCGTCTGCCCACCTCCCCCCAACACCACCCCTCTCTGCCCACCTTCCCCCCCACCCCACCCCACACCTGTCTTCTTCCTGAGGTATCGGAGCTCTCTCCGTTGTCCCCTCCCCATGTGGGCTCCACATCCTCGGCAGCTGTGTTCTCCACTGGACTCTTTGCGCAGTGCTCCCTCTATCCCACAGATAGTTCCTGACATTTCCCTTCCTCTGCAAAGTCACTTCCTGTTAACCTAAAGAGATCTGCCACTCAGGAGTGTGTTCACTGCGTCCCATATGAGGACCCGCTGGGCCTCACCCTATAGCAGAACCAGTTGTCCAGGGTTCTTTAATAATGGCGACTCTGTGAAGTTCCATGTCCACATGGTTTATCTGACGTGGATTAAATACTGTTCCCTGAACTCAGATACCACCATGCAGTAGACCCCCACTGTAAGGCAAGGATAGGCCTGGCCCCAATTTTAGGGCTTAACACCTTCCCGAAGAGGTTATTTGCATATCTGGGTGATGTCCATGGTTCTCACGGGCATCTTTCAGAAGCCCTCATCAGTTAGGACTGTGAGATCCCAAATCACACTGAATCTGGCCCACTGTGACACAGTACACCTTGCACAACACAGGGCATTAAATTAATAGCAGACCTTCTGTAGTAGTTACCATGTACCATCGAGCTGGAATGCCAACCCAAGGAATTCCAACCCAATCCATCGTCTTAACTGCTTTGCTGTGCTCCGTTGAGCTTCCTTTCCACCCTCCTACCCACTCACATCTGCCTTCTGTCTGCTGGGACATGAGAGAGACAGGGACTCAAAAATAAATCAGATATGGTTTCTTCTTTTGAGAAGCTCATATGTGGTAGGAGAGGACTGTTTAGCCCAATAATTGCCATATAGTCCGGTAAGTTCTAGACTGTACGCAACCCCAAAGTGCTATGGGACCATGAGGAGGATGCTCTTAACTCTGCCTGGTTGTGGTGGGGAGGGGTCGCAGGTGGGTGATGGTTGAAGCATGTCTACAAGGACGGATAGGAGTTGGTTAGGTGGAAAAATGGGGAGAGGGCAGTCTAGACAGAAGAAACAGCACCCACAAAGACAAAGAAGGCTGAAAGAGTATATCATATTTATGGAAAGAACAAGTCTTAGTTTGCCTGAGGAGAATGGCAAGGGCAGAGGGTGACTGGGCGGGGAGGGGTGAGAGTAGACTAGGAGAGAGCTCTGAGCTCTTTATATGACAGTGATGAGTTTAGGATGACTATCAGGTTTCTGCGTTGCACAACTGGTGTTTAGAATTACTACACTTTTCAAATTGGGGCATAACAGAGGCAGACCAGGCATGGGGAAGGAAGCACACTGAGTGTGAAGAACGCAGATTATACCCTGGTTAACAAGTCTGAGAGCTGCTGGACATGCCAGAGCTCAGAGTCGGGCCCCTCCCTGGACAAGGGGCCTTCTCCTGGGTGACCTGAGGTCTGTCCTCTGCAGATGCACCCGGAAGGAACGGTGTGAGCGCTCCAGGGAGCCCCGCAGGTTTGCCTCAGAGATGAAGCAATGTGTCCGGCTGACGGTCCATCCCAACAACATCTCCGTCTCTCAGTACAATGTGTTGGTAAGGGTCACGGAATCGGGCCTGGAGATGCAGGAAGACCCTTTCCCCACCACACAGAGCCTCAGTCCAAGACCCCTTGGGGGGCTGGGCCTGGCTTGGTCAGCAAGAGCATCTCTGGAGCAGGGTGGGGGGATGGGAGAGGAGCGGCGAACAGGAGACGGTGGGAAAGAGGCAACATGCATAATAGCTAAAAAGACAGGGAAACCATGATACTGAAATGGATCCAAAGGCTGGCGAAGGGCGAGAGCGATGTCTTCATCTATGAAATGAGACAGGTGGTGTGTATGCACAGAGGGAAAGAGAGGAAAGGATGCTGTCCAACTTCTTGCACTGGGCACTTGCTGGTTGGTATCGCCATTTTTCCAAAATTGGGAATACCGGAAGAAGTGCTTAACAAGCAATACCTCAGTTCTGCCCAACGATCCTTCTCTTCACAAATCCCCTACACATTCACATTTCCTGGGGCCAAACCCATTCAGATTCTGGATGAAGTTTCTTTTGTCTCTCTTTCCCTTCCACCACCTTCTATACACCGGTCATGTAATAAATTGGTCTGGCCTTCCTGTGTTAATATCACCTCGGATTATTCCCTCCTTACCTTTTCTTTGATCTCTCTTTCTCTTCTTCTTTCTCCCTTTATTCCATACCCTCCCTTTCCATCTCTCCCTCCTCCGCTGCCTGTCCCTGCCCACCTGTTCCCAGCTGGTCCTGGAGACCTACAACGTCCCAGAGCTGTCAGCTGGAGTCAACTGCACCTTTGAGGACCTGTCAGAGATGGATGGGCTGGTAGTGGGCAATCAGATCCAGTGCTACTCGCCCGCAGCCAAGGAGGTGCCCCGCATCATCACAGAAAATGGTGAGCAGCCCAGGCAACGCTGGCAGCACGCCCTTCTCCCTCCTGGACAAGGACTTGTGACAGATATGGGAGGACTGAGGGTGTCTACGGCAGGGGAGGCCCGAGAAAGGCCGTGGGCTGTGGGTATGTTGCAGGAAGAGGGGGTGAAGTGTTCCCCCACAGCTCTTGGAGTTGATGGTGACCAGCCTTCTATCTCAGCCCCATGTCAGCATCCAAGAGTCAGCCCTGTCGTAAGCGAGGAGCAGCTGCAGAGCAGGGTGGAGGGCAAGGCCAGGGGCAGCCTTAGAGTGCAGGGTGAGCTCAGAGATGGCTGAAGCAAGGGGGCTGGCGAGGAGCTGGTCAGGAGCAGGAGTGGGGTCCCAGGCGTCTTTGGGGCCTCAGCCCTCTGTTCACACTGCCCCTAACCTGGACCCTGCCTTCTGCCACTCCCACATCCCCAGAGCTGCCTGTTGTCCTCAGCCAGCTACACCAGGAAGGCCGGGCTGGACAGAGGCTCAGCATGTAAGGGACAGGCCCGGCCCAGGCAGGTTAATTCCATGTTGTCCCTCCCATTTGGTCTTGTCACGTTTGTTCGGTGCTGATTGATTAATGAGCCTCTCGGGGAAGGCAGAGCCAAGGCTGGAAGCGGGGCTGGGGGTCAGGGCTGTGAATTAAACCTGGACTCCAGCTCCTCTCCAGCACCAGCTGAGGACGCAGGGACTCCTGCCCCAGAGCCCTGAGCCCACCAGAGGAGGGGGCGTCAGCACAGGGTCTCTGCAGAGCTGGGGAAGGAGCCCCTGTGCACATGCATACTGACAGCCTACAGATCTGCTCCCTGGGGCTAATGAGTGTGTGCGTGTGTGAGTGTGTGCGCACGTGCGTGTAAGTGTGTAGGTGCATGAGTGTGTATATGCATACGTGAGTGTGTAGACATGTGTGAGTATGTGAGTGCGTTTATGTCAGTGCGTATGAATGAGTACATGTGTGTGAGTGAGTGGGTGTGGCTGTGAGTACACACAAGTATGCACATGAGTGTGTGTGAGTCTGTGTGAGTGAATGTGTGTATGAGTGTGTGAGTCGGTGGGTATGTGAATAAGTGTGTATTTGTGTGCACGAGTGTGTGTATGAATGTGTGTTTGCCTATGTGTGTGTGAGTATGTGAGTGCGTGTGAGTGTGTGAGTGCATGTGAGTGTGTGTGGATGTGTGGGTGTGTGTACACGGGGGGAGGTGAGCAAACGGGGAGGTGCACGTGATAGAATGTGGGGGAGAACTAGAATAGCACACCCTTTCTGCAGCTGCTCTGGGGTGCCCTGGGCCTGGGCGCTGTGGAGTCAGGTCCTGTTAGAGCTGAGCACACCTGTGGGGACTGGCTCCCCTGCCCCAGGAGCGGCCCTCTTGGTGGGGCCCTGGCCCCCCTTATATCTGCTGGCTCTGCCCTGCAGGGGACCACCACGTTGTCCAGCTGCAGCTCAAGTCCAAGGAGACAGGCATGACCTTCGCCAGCACCAGCTTCGTCTTCTACAACTGCAGCGTCCACAACTCGTGAGTGCCCCCAGCGGAGCTCTGTGCCCTGCCTCTGTGGTCAAGGTGGGAGACGTGTGGGTAGAGAGGCTCATTCTCTATCTGCATCCAAAGATAAGAGATCCTGCAGCTGTCCCCAAGGAGTCTGCATCGGGAGGCTCCATGAGGAGGCCTCCTTCACCCCAGGAGGAGCCCGGCCCCCCTGCTCCGGTACCCACAGTGTTAATGGGAATTGCAGAGACAGTGAGCAGAGAGAGGGCCTGTGGTGGGGTCTCAGACCCCTCACCTACACATCTTCTGCTTGAGCATAAATCTCTCTAAACTGATTCAGTTTCCCACCATCTGCTCGGGGGAACTGGGACTCCAATCTCTAGGAACCCCACACATCTGCTCAGACCGTCTCTAAGGAAGCTCCATAGAACCCCCGGGATTCGATCGAGCACAGTTTGAAAACCACGGGACTTGGTCTCAAAAAGTCGCGCTTACTTTAACACGCTACTGCGTTGTCCTCCCCATGCAGGACAAGCAGGCTAATCTGACCAAAGCCATTTGGGGGCTCAAGGCTGGGAGGGTTTTACAGTCTATCTAAGTGGTTATGGCAGCTGTGATCCAGAGCTTGGCTCTCTTTGGGGCCCCAAGTTGGGAGGCAACCAGGCCTTCCGGCCAAAAGCTAGTTTCCTCAACCTGGGACTCCCTTCCTCTTCTGGCCGTGAGCTGCCCTTGGCTTCCCCACCTGGAGGCCTCACCCCTCACTCCCCTCTTGCCTTTCTAGGAAGCAGAGGAGGTAGATGAAGTCATGTGTGAAGCTTCCCTACAGTCAGTGAAACAGTTTTAAGCATCTACCATGTGCAAGTGGAGGCAATAGTGGTTCAGTGGTAGAATTCTTGCCTTCCATGCAAGAGACCCGGCTTTGATTCCCAGCCAATGCTCCTCATGCACAGCTACCGCTTGTCTGCCAGTGGAGGCTTGTATGTTGCTCTGATGCTGAACAGATTTCAACAGAGCTTCCAGACTAAGACAGACTAGGAAGAAAGGCCTGGTGATTTACTTCTGCAAATCAGCCAACGAAAACCCTATGGAACACTAGAGTCTGATCCGTAACCGATCATGGGGATGGCGCAGGACCAGGCACCATTTTGTTCTGTTGTGCATGGGATCACCATGAGTTGGAGGCCAACTGAACAGCAGCTAACGACACCACCCTGTGCAAAACAATGTGTTTCTCATTAGACAAGGGGGATTCAAAAATTCATAACATTCAAAGACTTGATCTCTGCCCTCAGGGAGTCCATAGCCTCTTGGACAAGTGGAAGAACTGGACAATCAGATCGATGAAATGTGACACAGCATGGCCGTGCTGAGAGTGAGACTTAGAGATAGGTGGGAGAGGGGCCCAGTGTGGTCAAAGAAGGAGGATGAGCTGGCCAGGGGGAGGAGGGGAAGTGGTCCCCCTGGGGGAGGAGCAGTTTGTGGGGAGGGCGTGGCCTGTTCGAGGCCTAAGCACCAAGCACCTGAGTGGGAACAGTGTGGTGAATCTGGAAGGGCTCAGCCTGGTTGGTCAGGCAGTTGGACTTTTCTCTTTGTAAGAAGGGAATCATGTTGAGTTTTTAAGCAGTTCAACAACCCAGCCACTTGTCATCCAGTTGACTCCTACTCATGGCGACCCCATGTGTGTCAGAGTAGAACTAGACTTTTCAATGGCTGAGTTTTTGGAAGTAGATCACCAGGCCTTTCTTCCAAGGCACTTCTGAATAGACTCGAACCACCAACCTTACAGTCAGCAGCCAAGCATGTTAACCGTTTGTGCCACCCACAAATTCCTTTTAAGCAGTAGGAGTTCTCATAAAGCTGTCTTTGCTTCTGGGGGTGAAGGCTGGAGGTAGGAATTGTCAACTGTGGAGGAGCCCAGGGTATGAAAGCGCAGCCTCAGGAGCTTCCTCAGCCAGGGTGGGCCTGGGTGGGCCCCTGAAGCTGAGACCCTGGAGTCAGGTTGAGTTAAACTCAATTTTTTGTTTGCTGCGACTGTCACGAGTCCTCTGCACAAGCTCTAATGCTCCAGACCTCATTGCCATCCTTTTCAGCAAAGGAGAGTGCCATCCGGTGGAGCTGAAGGGGCAGTGATGAGGCCCTGGGGGACAAGGGTTGTCAGCTCCATGCATGAGGGGGTGAAGGCCAGGGACTGATTACTTCCTAGAGAGAAAGGGGATAGATCTGTGCAAGGTCTGCTCCTCCTGAGTGATGGTGCTTAAGAGTGGTTTCTCTTGCTGCTAGAAATGTCTTGCTGGACTCTGGAGACATGAGGCCCTCTGGTTTGGGCTCAGCCAGGTTCCAGAGCTGTGCCTCTTCTTCCTCTGTGCCAGGTGCCTATCCTGTGTGCAGAGTCCATACCGCTGCCACTGGTGTAAATATCGACACGTCTGTACCCACGACCCCAAGACATGCTCCTTCCAGGAAGGCCGCGTGAAGCTGCCAGAGGTAGGTCCTGACAGTTGGAGCAGTGGATGCCAGGTTGCTGTGGGCATGGGACATAAGGCAAGTCTTCTAGGAAGAGAAACCAAATTTCATGAAAGCAATAAACAAGCAAAGCCCTGTGCTGGGGCCAGGTTCTGGGTCAGCCTTGGAGGTTGTCACAGAGAAGAGCTCAGGTACATTCTGGGCCATTCCACCCTGGAAGATCCTCCGTGTGCGAGGTGAGTCCTAAAATAATTCCAGCGAGATGCCTACGTGCGTGCATAGACGTGTGTGGATGCGTATGCATGTGTCCTGAAAGCAATTGTAAGCACACAGCAGGAAGATGTGTCCATAGAGAAGAATTAAGATCAAAGAGGACAAGTTAGTACAAAGGAGAAAGGAATAAGAATGAGAGAGTGGTCCACTTATTAGCCAGAGCAAGGGTTCTCAAAGTGGGGTCCCAGACCAGCAGCATCAGCATCCCGAGAAAGTCTCACACTCCCCCCAGACGAACAGAATCAGAAAGGTTGAGAGTGGGGCTCAGCTGTCGGTACCTTCATCCAGGTGATTCTTATGTGAGTTCAAGTTGGAGAATCACTGAGCTAGCGTCAGGTCTGTTGATAAGATGGGGCATTTCTATTCCCTCATGATTTTCATTCTTGTCCTTGAAAACTATTTCTCTTCTTAATAACATTATTTTTTAAACTATGTTGTTTCCTCTCTTAAAAGTTAAGGGTGCAGGCAGGGACCGCAAGGAAACAGGCATAAAAAAATTGTTCCGACATTATTGTGTTTCTTACAAAGCTTCTGTGACTCTGCCATCCAGCCGTTAGCTCTGAAGAGTGGTAACTTTAGAGTGCTGTTATTTAGAATTAAAAAAAAAAAAAAAAGCCATTGCCGTCAAGTCGATTACTCATAGCAGTGCTGTAGGACTGAGCAGAACCGCCCCATAGGGTTTCCAAGGAGCGGCTGGTGGATTCAAACTGCCAGCCTTTGGGTTAGCAGCCCAATGCAAGATCCAGTGTTAGCTGGACCTCACCGTTGTCTGTGGCAACACTGTAGTCTCCCTCCCAGGGCCGAGCCTCCAGCCTGGCCTGCTCCCTCAGCCAACACTGGACTCCTGCAGTCTCAGCATCCCCCCTCCCCAGCTAGGGTGCATGGTGCAGCCCCTTCCCACACCCACTCAGATGCAGTGGCCAGCAGCAACCCCCACAGCCGTGAGAGCGGGGGACTGTGCTGACGCAGGAAGGGTTGGGGTTGTTTATGGGACAGGAGGGCCATAGAGAGGACCGAGAGACTCACCATGGTGCCCCCTCCACTCTCCCAGATTGTGCCCACTAGGAAACCTCACTTTGGCCAAACCCTGCGTGGCCGGGGGGTGGGGGTGGGGAACACTGTCTTGTCTCTGAGGCTAAAAGGTAAGAGTGATGGACACTCCAGTTAGTGGCGACCAGCACCTGTTGCACTGGCTCCCCTGGCCCAGGGGGAATGACTGAACAATGCCACGATCCAGGAGCCCCAGTCCCACTTGCCCAGGCCCTGCTGGCTGAGCAGGAGTCCTAGAGCTAGAGCGGTTTACTTCAGAGGTGAAGGCAAGGGGTGACGAGGCTGTCGGGGGAAGAGAATGACCCCAACTGGGCGGAAAAAGAAACTTAGGACAAGAGACACCAGGAAGCAAGAAGACACAGACAGTCGGAAACCTCCTTTAAGCAGGGCTTCGAACTGGTTCGTTTGGGTTGGAACCCCTGCTGAGAATTTCCATTTCCACCCTAGATATACTGAATCAGAATCTACAATACATTTTAACAAGATCTCTGATTCTTACATAAACCTATGAATCACCTGGCGATCTATAAGAATCACCTGGGGATCTTGTCAAAATGTGGATCCTGATTCAGTATATCTGGGGTAGAAACGCAAATTCTCAGCAAGGGTTCCAACTGGAACGAACCAGTTCGAAGCCCTGCCTTTAAGGTAATTAGATGAAGAACAAGAAGAGGTTGTGGAAGCACCCAGGGTAGAAGACCCTCTCCCTCTGTAACAATCTGGAAGTGACTGCTCTGGATTCAAAATCAGAAGAAGAAACCCAAATCGAGATCGTACATCTCGGCTTTTAAGTTGTTGTTGACTTACGCCATCAAGCCGATTCCAACTCCTGGCAACCCCATGTGTTACAAAGGAGAACTGCTCCATAGGATTTTCTTGGCTGTAATCTTTATAGCAAGGAGCCCTGGTGGGGTAAACTTTAAGCACTCGACTGCTAACTGAGAGGTTGGCAATTCCAACCCACTCAGTGGCTCTGTGGGAGAAAAGACCTGGCAATCTGTTCCCATAAAGACTACAGCCTAGGAAACCCTATGGGGCGGTTCTACTCCGTCACTTAGCATCACTATGAGTCGAAATTGACTCACCAGCACCTAACAACAATAATCTTTAAAGCAGATCACCGGGCCTTTCTTCCACGTGCCACAGGGGGGGGTTTGAACCACCAACTTTTCGATTACCAGCCGATTGCAAACCACGTGCACCGCTCAGCGAGTGTGAATCTAGTGTTCGTGTATTGATTTTCTACTTTTCTTTCACAAAGGCAAAATGGATGTGAAGGTAACAGGGCAGACGTGGGTGGGCAGCCAAGGGGCACACCTTTGACACGAAGGCCCTGATAAAGGTGGCACAGTCTCCTCAGTCAAG